TTGTCAAACCTGTATATGTATACAGAGTGGCCATTTTCTGAATCTTTGTATTTGTAACTTCTACATTTTTAAAGATAGATAATCCGTTAAATGGGCAAAATAGGGCAGAATTCGATTGCCTATTCATTACCGTTTTCAAAATTTAGGTACCCGACTTGGTTCCTGAAATATTCTGAAAAGACAAGAAACAACACTTTTTTAATTATCACTTATTACGTAAACTGCTTAACTTAGAAAAAAAGTTAAAACTGTCCTTAGTACAACTTTTTGAGTTGAATCCAATAAACTAGCACTTGTTATCATAGTCAACTTGATTTACGAGATAAAAAATAAACTTATGGTTTTTTTAAATGGTAATCATAGTTGGCTGTGGGCCTTTTAAAATCTTTATTTTTTTCTGAATTTAACGATATAATTGTTTGTATGTTTTTCTCATTTTGTTGCCGTAAAACTTCAAAAGAAGATAAAAAATGTGTAGTAGGCTATGGAAACAAGAACTATATTATCATACAAAGCACAAAACAATAATGAATCGTTTAAATTAAATGTTCAAATTGACTTCCGTTTACTTCCAGGCATTGTTTGGCATCTTCACATTCAACTCGTGAGTTGTGTGAAGGTGCACTATCATGTTGAAAAAATGCCAATTTTCGATACGATGCTAACGGAAAACTATTCAACATGTCTTCAAATTCATTTGGTAAAAAGTGTAAATATCTTTCCATATTTAAATTGTGAATATAAAAGAATGAACCAATAATTTTAGCACTAAAAATGCCTCACCAGACATTCACCAAAAAAAACACGTTGATCGCGCCTATTTTCAATTAGAGCATGATTTTCATTAGCCCAGTAAACATGATTGTGTCTGTTAATTATTTCATTATTGTTTCGTGCTCTGTGTGATAATATAGTTCTTGTTTCCATAGCCTACTACACATTTTTTATCTTCTTTTGAAGTTATACGGCAACAAAAGGAGAAAACCATACAAACAGTTAAATCATTAAATTTAGAAAAAAATAAGGATTATAAAAAGCCCACAGTCTACTATGATTACCATTTAAAAAAACATAAGTTTATTTTTTATCTCGAAAATCAAGTTGACTATGACAACAAGTGCTAGTTTATTGAATTCAACGCAAAAAGTTCTACCAAAGACAATTTAACTTTTTTTCTAATTTAAGCGGTTTACGCTTTTATTATATGATAATTAAAAAAGTATCGATTTTTTGCCTTTTCAGGATATTTCAGGAACCAGGTCGGGTACCTAAATTTTGAAAACGGTAATATAATGTAGCATAGATAATAGGCAATCGGATTCTGCCCAATTTTGCCCATTTAACGGACTCTCTATCTTTAAAAATGTAGAAGTTACCCATACAAAGATTTAGAAAATGGCCACCCTATATATCACATCCTTTTTTAATCGTACTTTGCTTCCTTTAAAAATTGGTCAAAATGTCTCCTATTGTCCTAGAACGTCCGATTGTTCTAGAATGTTCGGGCAATTAAACAAACTATGTGTTTCGCTCTGAATTGCCGTGGAAGCTTCAGACAAACAATAAAATCCAAAAGTATCTTAACCTAAAAGTAGTAAAATGTTTTAAAGATTTTTTCTCAAAATTTATAACTGGTACTAAGTATTCTGCTCTCCGTATATTTGTCGAACCTGTATATGTAAATAAAAAGGAATATTTCGTATATGCAATAAGCTGAGTTTTGTTAATAATATATATCTGCAAAGTAACTGTGAAAACCGTACAGTGAGAGCATATTTTTTATATAAACGACTAGCTGACCCGGCAAACGTTGTATTGCCATATAAATTATTTCTAGGTTTTTTTTTCATCTCGAGTGGGCGGTTTGCCCACTTGAGATTTTTTTTAATTTTATTTTAAATTTATTGAATTACTATTATGGCTATTAAAAGATAGGGGTTTATGGCAGCACCCATATCACTTAGGGGTATAAAAAATAGATAACAACCTATTCTCAGACCTACTGAATATACATACAAAATTTCATCAAAATTGGTCAAGCCGTTTCGGAGGAGTATGGTAACTAAAACTGTGACACAATTTTATATATATAGATTTTGTTTTATTATGAAAATAAAATACATAATAAAAGTTTAGCATTTGTGCGCTCATGATATTCGCTTTTCAATAAATAGGAAAAAGGTCATTTCAGAAGAACTGAAAAAAATCGATATAAGTAAGAAAGACCTAAAAATGATATTACGTTTAAAGGCTTTATTAAATCCATCAAAATAGATTATTAAATTATCATAAAACCTATAATTTTATATTGGCATAGTATTTTGAGAAAGCACTGGAGAAAGTAATAATAAACGTCTGAGAATAAATAATTCATTTACCACTAGAACTTTTTGCGTACCATATTTAATGGAATTTTAGTTATTAAAATCTAAAATACACTTTTAATAAATAGTATTGTTGCAAAAGCGCAACCAATAAATACAAATTAAATAGAAGGAACCTACTTGATTGAATAGTTTATTAAAATTTGCCTCTATCGAAAATTAAATGTTAACTTCCATAAAATCGCAACAACAACGCGGCCAAAAGTTATTTATTTTAAGAAAAAATCTAACTTTATTTTGACAATTTATAATTTCTTTGTAGGTGACACACTAAATATTTTTTTTAACTGATTTAAATTTAAATTTGAAAAAGAAAGAGGTGCGGAAAAAAATTGTACTTAAGGACGCAGCTACGCTGATTTCAATCGTTAATTTTCCATAAAAGTTGCGTTTTTTTAAATGGAATGTCCTGTATATTCTTGCACTTTTGGATTCGCTGAACAAAATAAGTGTCTGTTTTAATAAGGTTTATAATACCTAAATCTTAAGGTTTTTTAAATAATACGAATTTAAT